GGTACATCTGAAGTATTTGCCCTGGATTCTAACCTACAGGGAAACAACACATCATGGTTGAGAGCAGGCTGCGGAGAGGGCTCAACAATCAAGCCCCTACTGCATGTCTGAACTTTCTCCTGAGGCGTCAATGGTCAGATAAGAACAGCACAAGACCTCACATATTCTGTTGGACTGAAAAATGGTTCGTGTGGCTTTTCCCCTTCATTCAAACCAAACCCAAGTGAATACACAAACAACACTCAAGTGGAATGTCACCAAATGGTACAAGTTTATCCTGTCCTTCTCCCTCTGTTCCTGACTGTATGATAGGCCACACGGATTTCTACACGCTGACCTGTATTGCCGAACGCTGCTGAAGGGTGCTTAAGGTCCAATCTGGCAGGCCTAGCTGGGTGGAGAAGACTCCATACTTATAAGGACCTGAACAGCATGCAGCAAAAAACCCAGCTTGCAGGCTCACGGAACCCAACAAAGACTTTTCCTCAGATGATTTCTCAGTGAGTGACTGAGTGTTGTATTTTATTTTTTCCCCATTTTACATGCTCAACAAATGGCCTGCTCCAGAAGTGTGGTCATGGTGGTGGGGGGGGGTGGGGGTGGGGACGGTGGTTAGCAACCATGACTGAATCCTTTTACTGAGAAAGTTCCTCAGGAGTGGTATGGTGGTCATCCCAGAGACTGGCTGCTTGCCCCTGTATGGAACATTTTGTTGATTCACCTTAGAGGACTTCTCTGGCTCCTTCACTAGCTGTGAGGAAAGCCTGTGGGCTCTGGCCTTCTGGAGTGGCAGCTTTCCAAGGGGAAGGGATGGGAAAATCTTGCTGTATCTGAGGGGTAGCTGTACGTCATGACTGGAGAAGTGGAAGCAGGTATTAAATGACAGACACCACTTTAAAATGTGTAGACCTAACTTGATTTTTAATCATCGCTAGAGGAAGCAATTCTACTGTAAGATGGCGAGAAAAGTAGTTTTTATGGAGCAGCACACTCCTCCCTACTTGGAAGACATTAACAAGTCTGTCAAAGGATTCGTTAGAAGCTCTTGGCTTCCCCTTATTATTTTGCCTGCTAAGCGCTACTAGCAAACTCCTTAGGGGGGCCCGTGAGTGGAAGCCTGTCTTGCTCCTTCATTAGCTGTGAGGAAAGCCCACATGCTGTGGCCTTCTGGAGTCGCAGCATCCCTGGGGTGCCTTGGCGCTTTCAAGCCTTCCTCTGTGGAGGCATGAAGGAAGGGACCAGGCCACTGGTCTTCCCTGTCAGTGCACACCAAACCCCATCCCCTGGAGGGAAATCCTCTTTTACAAAATGTCTTTACTTCATACACAGGAATAATATTGGTCAAAAAACTTCTTGGCCTATACATGTAGGAGTTACAAAAGTCTGTCAAAAGTTGCAGCAAAGAAGGACTTTTTCATCCATCTTTGGGCACGTTTGACCAAGATGGTGGAGGAGTTTGTAGCAGGAGAGAGAGAGAAGCTTAGCATTAACTTTCTAGGTTTATTCTGTCCCTCACATTTTTGTTTTCTGTTAGTCCAGTGGAGTTCTTACCAGGGAATCTTTTCATTCATTCAAAACCAAACAAATAACCGAGGCGCCGGACCTAACGCTGTATGTACAATGGTTCTTTGCAGCAGAGAAGGAAAAAACTAAAACCAGACTAGGTTTTCTATTCTGTAGTAGGAGAGAAATTAAAACTCTAAAAGGTGACATAACACAGTTCAGAGCCATCTTGTAATAGAGGGCTTTCGGTTCATACTTCCTTGTTGACAAAACTGAACCCTGGTGGTGTTTTCCTTTTTACATCCTAACCTCTCATTCATCCTAAAATTTTAGGTGGAAAAAAAAATCCAAAAATGCAAAGAGTTTTCAAAAAACCTTTTTTCTTTTCTTTGTTAAACAAATGGCCCCATGAAAACACTAGGCCATCGGGCCTCACTGTGTGCGTACTGAGTTCTGGAGAGCTATGCAGATGGCAGTGGCCTGTTAGCAATACGTTTCAGAACAACCCTACCCCCATAGTACACATTTTATGAATCATTTTGAGAACAATCCCTTCTTTTACTAGTTAACACATTGATGAGTGTCCCCGTGCTCACCGACTAAAAGTAAACATAGGGGAGTGTTTTGGAAGCATCCTGTCCCCGAGCTGATCACGGTGGCCCCACACCACAACGTAAGCTTCTCTCAAGGAGGACAAGGGTCCTCCTTGCTGGGTGGTGCTTTCTCTGGTTTCGGGCTGTCACTCAAACTGCCACATTTATGATGCATGTTGGAAATTTGGCACAACAGCCCTCTCTCCAGAGCCTCCACTCTGCTTTCCTGACTCTTTTGTTACCCTCCGGGTGAACTGCAAATACGTGTCTGAGGTGAAAAGGCAAACAGCCAACCGAACAACCCCTGAGAGCTTCCCCAGGGCCCCAAGTGGCCCAGACAAAAGAAGAATCACAAAAGGTACATTAACTGGTTAACTGGGCCATGTGTGTGCATGCGCATGCGCGTGTGCACGCGCTCTCATAAGCTCTGTCCCGGTATGGACGTGACCTTATGAGGCTGAGGCTGCTTAAATGCAAGAGATTTCCCCAAGATTCTCATCCCAAACAATGAGGTTTGCTCGCTAGCTGTTGGAGGTTTAGCCACTTTCGAAACAGACCAAGGCCTCTTTGTTCAAGACTGACCCTGAAAACAGAGACACGTTAATGCATCGGACATGCGGTAGCTTCCACGGTCCTATGGTCCATTCACCGTCACAGACCGCCCCAGAAGCACCCCACCCATCCACACAGCCCACATCTAAGTGTGTCTCCTCCACGGGTTGAAAAGAACGCCTCTCAGAATGTGAAGCATGAATATAAAAGGGCTTCCCGTGACAGCGATCACTGAATCATGGGGAATAAAGCCAGAAGGCGAATTTGCAATTCATCACATTATCTCCTGGTGTCTCAAATGTGATTCTTTTAAAGGCAGGCTGCATATACACTCTTTCTCCAAGCTTTTTTTTTCTTCTTCTTGTAACATACTGTGTATCCTTGTTTTTGCAGAATATCCGAATGAGGATCAAATGATAAAAAAAAAATTACAATAGATTAATTGCATCCCTTGAATCACATTATATTTTTGGTGCATTAAAAAAAGGAGAAAAGTAAAAGCAACCAGCATAATAAACTCAGCCTAGAGAACTGTGTCAGTGACTTGAAGAGTTAACACAGATTTTAGAAGTGGTTAAAAATAGTATTAGAGGATTATACATACAACAGTTTGAAATTCATATGCATTGCATCTTTTTTAAGTGGCAAAATGTTTGGCAAATGTAAGCAAATGACTTGGACTGTGTTGGGTTTCACCGGCTCTGAGCAAAGTCAGTCATAGCCAGGTGAGTCCCACTGCTTCCTGAGGTCACTCTGTGGGGCTGGGAGGGGGAGGGTGCTGTGGGGGGAGGTGAGGTGCTGGCCCCCCACGCCCGGCTCCCCCTTGGGCCCTCAGTCTTGAACATGGAGCTGGTGAGAGGTGCCAATTACAGACTCCAGCATGGATCACCCATTAGCATCGCTGAGAGAACTCTGGGGCCTTGAACCACATGCAGACTGGGTGAGTCGTCTACACAGTGACCCATATTGCAAAAGTTAGAGAGAGGAGGGGGGCTCCCGCTCCCCTGACTTGCACGCCCCCCCCACCCTCGCGTGGAGGTGTGTCACTAGTGTTTATCCAGGCAATGTTGTCAACTTGTGTTTTTTTTTTAGTAGACTTTTAAAAAAATGTTTTGTGTGTATGTATATCCAGAAATGTCCATCCTCCAAGCTGGGCCGCCACTGTTCCCTGAACTTGGCAGTGCCTGTTGCTTGTAGCGGTCGGCATCCCGAAAAAGCATGAGGTGCCTTCAAAGAGTAGACTCTGGGCCCCAGCCGGTTGCACATCAGACACATGATCCCATGCTCTCCTTATTCTGAATCCTGTCTGGCTCTGATTTTGAGAAAAAGGACAAAGGTCGTGTTGTGTGTATGTGGTGTGTGTGTGTGTGTGTGTGTTTGTACTGTGTTGTTTTTTTTGGAGATTTTTTTTTTTTTTTTTTTTTTTTTAGGAAAAATGACCCTTTGATTACTAATACAGAGTTCAGCCTCCTTAGTCACTATAAAACAGACTCCATGTTTTCACACCACTCATGGTCTTCAAGGTTATAGATAAATTTTGTCCTATGGGTCTGGCTTGCGGGCACAGGGTCCCTCCCCAGATTGTCTACGGTCAGAGTAGAGGCAAAGAACTCACTGGTGCTCAGCCCGCCCTCGTGGTTTTTGATGTAGCGTTTATAGTTTTTCCTCAGGCACTGCCACGAGGTTGTGTAGAGGACAAAGGCAGAGGACTTCAGCACGATGGCGATGCTGACGTACAGGTATCTGTAGGCCACGTTGTCGTACAGGACGCAGGCGCCTTGCTCCCCGCAGAATGTGCTCCAGAACAGGCAGGTGGAGTCGATGCCGGCCCCAAAGATGAGGGGAGGGGGGATGAAGCCTGCGAGGGGGGAAAGAACACGTCAGTCATGCTCACCCTCAGGCTCTGCAGGCTGGCCTCCCCGGTCCTCTCTCCCCACAGGACCCCGGGGATGGTGTGCCCCACCGTGTCCCACCGGGTGGCTCGATGGCACAGGGCTGCAAAGACTGGAGTCCGAATCCCAGCTCTGCCCCAACCTGCGCAAGGTCTTTAAGCTGCCTGTGCCTTAGTTTTCTCATCTGCAAAATGGGGATAAGAGCACTTCTGCTCAGACTGCTGTGAAGACGGACTAAGTGGACCCATGAAAAGCATTGAGAACGGTGCCCGGCACAGAGCAAACACAAAATAAATGGCATTTGCTACTATCATCCGCTGAGAAAGGAGCAGAGAATTTTCCCCGAATGGACCATTCTTTGTGTCAGAGAAGTACAACTTCATAGAGGGAAGTGCAAGGAGGTATTGTGCTCTCTGTATTATGTTCCTGGGTGGGGTTTCTAAGGCTGCGTTTGAGTGGAGGGAGCTGGGACCAGAAAGGAACAGAAGTTGAACATGAGTGCACTTAACCTTTGTATGTGTAGGTGTGTGTGTATACACACATGCATACATGTACACGTGTTATGTACACAAGCATGTATAATATGCACACATACATATATAGGTGTGTATCATTTAAGATGGAAAGCATCTGCATGCATGCTAACAATTTCCCTTCCCCTAGATATTAACCACTGCATTGAATCCTTTTCATTCTGAGCTGGGAACCAGTGTTAAAATTAAAACCCTCACACTAGAGTATTTCAGGCGCTTTCAACCAGTGATCAAAAATGGCAGAGGAGATAAAAAACTATTCTCCTTAGTTCAGTTCTGTGTCTCTGTCCCTTGTCCAAGCTCAAAGGTTATCAGTCCTGGCTGCACATTAGAATCATCCAAGGTGCTCCCTCCTAGAACAATGAAGTTAGAATGTCTGGTGTGTGGCCCAGTCATCAGCATTGTGAAGTCATCCCCTGTGATTCTGGCCTGTGGGGGGGGGGGGGGCTGGGGGGAACTGATTCATCTGTGCGATGGGAAATGAATGAATGGCTCATTAATACAGATTAATTGCCTCAGAAAAAAAGTATCCCCAAGGCCAGAATGTGGTGCCAATCATGCAGGGAGAGACCTCAGAAGCAGAAAGTGGAGATCACGTTGCTGGGGTATCCTGCTATCTGGAGTGTTCTTTCCAGGGTCAGCCCTGGGGGTGTCAGAGCTTCACTCTTTATTAAGGAAGGTCCCTCTGAGAATTTGCTGAGATTTAGATCCTTAGTCCAGAAAATGACTTCTACCCACAAAAACCACACCCATATTTCAGGTGGTTCATGAGTCCCTGATGGCCATTCACAATCACCGGAATTAAAACACCTGTATCACATACGCTGCAGACCCTCCTTTCTGAGGGCGGCCGGTGAGGGGAAAGGCTTACTGAGGGAAACCATGCTTCCTGATTCAATGTCAGGCCTGGGATGGGCGTGCGGGGCCTGCACTGTCCCATCAGGTGCTAATGAGGTTGGACAGAGCTCTGGCCTCCCCAAGCCCAGGTGCCTCAGCACTTCCCCGCTCGGTCCCTTGTTAGCCCAGAAATTCCAGGGTAGTAGTTTTAGTCGAAACCTCATTAAACTGCCCAAGTGGCTTGATTCAGTAAATCAACAACCTGATTCCTCTTTGCAGCTTCTAGGTTTGTTTGGTCTCCGAATGGAAACTCCTATAATTCCAGCATCGTCTGCCTTAAAGGGTCTGAGGCCTTCCTCACCAACTAGTGAGTGCTCTCCCAGCCCCCTCCCCCAACCCCGAAACAAAAGCCCTCTTTCAAGTAACAGAAAATGAGCCCAAGGGACTAACTGCCCAGCCAACCACTTAAGAGAAACTAAGTCACACTCCACATCATTTAGGTAAAGAAATGGAGATTGGGAGCTCCTTTAAATTGATAGATGGGGAAAATGGGACACATCTGGCTGTTCTATGGCCCCATTGCATCACTTGCATCCATTCACTTATTTCTCTGGGTTTTATGAGGTTGCAAGAGCCCCCAAATGTTCCTCCCTCTTCTTCCTTCTGACTTTCTTGAGGTCACTTTGTCCTACCCCACCTGTCAGGGCGCAGTGGGGAGTGGCTTATGAGGGCTCTGTCAACAGCTCTGCCGTGGGAAGGGACAGACAGCCCAGGGGCTCTGTGCTCCCCGTACAGAGGGACCGGAAGAGTCGCAGCCAAATCCACATTGGGCAATCGTGGTCATATTTTAAGCACATCAGAGGACATTTACAATATAAAGGAGCCATTCTTTAATACTTGCTTGGACCAAAATATCCCTCAAAAATGCCAAGATGTGACTCCTTCATGAATCTGTAGCTGTGTGACAGTTTCTAAAATATTGTGTTATCTTTAAAGTAGGGCATACTTCTTTGTGCTAATGGTGTCAGTTTTATCTTGCCTACTGTCAGGCTCCATTACCAGATGACACAGCCTGGAAGGACTCGGAAAAAGCCTTCAAAGAGAAATTAGAAAGCTAAGTGCCTAGAGAAGCTTTTCATATTTTGCAGAGCCTCTGTGATGGAGAAGAACAGAACCTGGAACTTGCATCGAAAGCCTTGGGATTGGGGCAAGTTGCTGGATCGCTCGGTGCCTCAGCTTCTTGATCTTTAAAATGGAGCGAATACTGCCCCTCCGGCCAGGGTCAAGGTGAGCTCTGTCACAAATGAGGTGTTCTGCACAAATCTGGTCTTTCCATAGAGCCAGAGTTCGTGTTAACTTATTCATGTTATATGGAGGACTGGGGGGCTAGTTTAGACTAAACTCTGGATTTAATACTTTAAGCATAACTTTTATGAGGTTCCCTTTATATTTCTGAATAGAAAAACAGATTGGCTTTTCCACCAAATTCATCTTTATATTGACTTAAAATTCCCAAAGGGGAGCTCTGGCTATCAGGTGTGCAGAGAATACCAGAGAGGAAGAACTGGTTGGATATCTTTTATTAAAGGTCCTTCTAGAACTCACCTGATGGCTAGTACTCCCATGCAGCCACCCAATATTCTGTTTATCACTCAGGTGGACCAAATAAAAGCTCGGCCTGTCCCTGCAAGATATTGCCTCCCCAGACACCAATGGGGGCTCTCACAGGAGTACTGTAATAGTGGTGCAAGTTAATGATGGGAAACTGCTCTCACATAGATTAGAGAGGGCAGAAGGGGGAGCCATAGAGCAAGAAGAAGTGTCAATAACAAACCCCAAGAGGGAAAGATGTAGGTTGCATCTCCTAGGAGAAATCAACTACCCCAGCAACTCAGCCAGTAAGAAACTGTCATCACCCTGCACTCTTGCTTTTCTCCAGTGAACTTTCATTCAGAACAGTCCCTTCTGACTTCCTCCTTCATTAAGTAACCTTCCGCTCCTTTATGATAGGACTTGTCTATGGTTTTGGTGTACCCTCATGCCCTGAGTTGCAATTCTGCTTCCAAATAAACCCAGGTTTTGCTGGTAAAACAATGAGGTTTTAGAGAGGGGAGAGATGGGCAGAGGGAGAGAGAGAATCTGAAGCAGGTTCCATGCTCAGTGCAGAGCCCATGTGGGCCTTGATCCCACGACCCTGTGATCATGAGCCAAAGCCAAAATCAAGTCAGATGCTCAACTGACTGAGCCATTTAGGTGCGTCAATGGGCTTTTTATTTTGAAGGTTACCATTGTTTGGTGATAGGAGGTGAGGTCCAGAGAAGAGCCGCAACAGCTCGGGAGCTGGTGAGCAAACAGGTGCTGTGCCCAGAGTCGAGTGAACTGCCTTCCTGCTGACCTCGGAGTTTTGAAGGTCAGTTTTCCTCTTGGATTCCAAACTCCGCTCTGTGTTTTGAGATCCCCGGACTTTATTTGCAATCTAAGGCTTTGTTCTGAGAATACTCATTTGGCCTTTGGTAAAGTATCCCAATTCCTTTTGGAACCAGGTCATTCTGGTGAAACTGTGGAGTTAGAATTTTTTTCTCTAGAGAACAAACCTCTAAGAAATGGGGTCCCAGTTATCAAACTGCTTTAGAGAGTGCCCTCCCCCCCGTCTGGGACCCCAGCTGGTTTTATATTTCAAAACCTGTGGTCCCTTTTCATGTGCATTTCTAACTAAATGGACCACCTTAATGAAAAGTAATTTGGACCTTCGGTGGGGAACTTTCCTTCTTCCTAAATTTACTCTTCTCAAAACTGAATTGGACAGACCTGGCTCTAAAACTGTCAACGGAATGGGATGCCTGTATTGATTGGTAATTTGAAGCTTCTAGATGGCATCAGGAATCTAGAATATATGCTAGCTGAGTCAAACAAACAAAGAAAAAAGGGCTGCTGAGACCACTTTTCCCCTTCTCTGTCCACTTTGTCTCACAGCCTCAGCCTCTGGGCTTGGATCCCATCTCTGGTGCCATCTTCCCTTTACTCCCTGCCCGGCTTCCTCACGTCCCTATGGTCCCTCAGGCTAATCCTTTCACGGAACCTGCCTTTTTCCTCTGAAGGAACTGTCCCCTCCTCTCCTGGACCTATTAAAATCTGCCTGAGGATCCAAACAAACTCCACATTGCTTCTGTTCCCTGGAACACGGCCAAATTGTGAGCCATAGTTAATGACTTTCCTAACGTGGCTGAGGACTTCTGTAAGGTTTGCTGAAGAATTTAACATAGTTATTCAAATTGACCAACCTGGTTTCTCAGATTTCTATTAGTACACATGCTTGTTGGTGAGGGCCAGGCCAAACACTGGATGAAATTAGCCCACTGGGAACATCCTGAAGGAGAGTTAGTGAAACAGACCCCTCACTTTGGGCAGGATGCTAAGAACACTCTACCAACAGATGGTGGTAGCTTTTACTAAGCCTCTTGATTGGAACAAAATTCAGGCTTGCACGCAAAAGCCTGGTGAACCTGTTCGTGAATATTACAATCTTATCTTTAAAGAAAATTCTGGTCTTCCTTTAGATATGGAATCTCCCCAGGTAGCATTAAACTCAATTTATTATTTTTTCAAAAAAAATTTTTTAATGTTTATTTTAGAAAGAGACAGCGTTAATGGAAAGGGGGGCAGAGAGAGAGGGTGATAAGAATCCCAAGCAGGCTCCAAGCTGTCAGCACAGAGCCCGACGCAGGGCTCGAACCCACAAACTGTGAGATCATGACTCGAGCCAAAGTCAGATGCTTAACCGACTGAGCCACCCAGGTGCCCCTAACCTCGATTTATTAATGGGCTGAACACGGATATTTATTTTTGTTAAAAGGACCACATGGAGTGGGAAACCGCGTAACTGGGCAGGCCAGCTCACTTATACTCTAGATGAGTCCTCTAAAACAAAAAGAGTGCTTAAGTTCTCAATTTTCAGTGCTGGCAAATGAATGCCTCTAGAGACAACCAACCCTCCCCTAATATCTGCTATTACTGCAAAGGGCCAGGACCGTGGAAAAAGACTGTGACAAAGTTAAGCACTGCAGGCCCCTGCAGCCTTTATAACGTCCTCTTAATTCCCCAGTGTCGGGGCTCCTAGGAACTGCAGATCAGCTCAGAGAAACCACTCTCCTGATTGGCTGTCAATAAGGACAAAGAAATTCATCCTCAGAACTGCACTTCGGTTGCTCAAGCCCGCAATCCACGGCAGCTGCCATCTCGGGTCCTAAACCAGTTCAGATAGTGGGGGGGCCTTCATAAACCTCAGCAGTTTCCCATCTCTGAGTCTACCCCCTCTTGTTTAGGTCCATTGAGGGCTACTCACCCTTTTCTCATTTATTTTTTTGGGCTGAGATTTTTAGAAAAATATCATGCCAGAATTTCTTTCTCCCAAAGGACCTGACAGTGGTAATCAAAGTAGCCAAGCTTGTGAATTAACATGACCCTTTGACACCTATTATTTGCTCCGTCTCTGACAGCACTAGAGCTGAGTCTGGGGACACCAATCCTTTGTTCCCTAATGCATCAGTTACCATCCTTTTTAGGGGGAGATCTTTAACTGATATTGCCAGAATCCACAGTACACCTCTAAACAAGATTCAAATAGATCCCTCAAAACCTCCCATGAAATAATCAATACTCTATAAACAAAGAAGTCCTTCAAGGCATCAAACCCATAATAGATGATTACAGGGTCCAAGGCCTTCTTAGCCTCTGTAATATTCCCGTTTTACTTGTGAAAAAACTCAGTGGCTGAAGATGGCAGTTTGTCCATGACCTCTAGGCAATAAATGTTATTATTCCTCAGTACTCTATTCTTTCCAACCTTTGAATGCTACTGACATCTATTCCTACTAAAAGCAAATCCTCACTGTAGTTAATAATATGCAGTGCATTTTTCAGTATTCTAGTTGAGAAGGATCTTTTTGGTTATAGTTGGAAAGTAATGCCCCAGGGTTACACAGAGAGCCCTTCTTACTTTTCACAAACCTTACAAGTTGACTTGGATGATGTTTGTTCCACCACAGAGATGATTTCCTTCTCTGCTCCCTTTCTCAAACTTCTTTACAGAAAATAGCATTTACCTGCTTAAAACTTTTGGCCTTAAAGGGACATAAAGTCTCCAAAGAGAGGGGTACCTGGGGGGCTCAGTTGTTTAAGCGTCCGACTTCAGCTCAGGTCATGATCTTGCAGTCTGAGTTCAAACCCCACATCGGGCTCTGTGCTGACAGCTCGGAGCCTGAAGCCTGCTTTGGATTCTGTGTCTCCCTCTCTCTCTGCCTCTCCCCAACTCGCACTCTGTCTCTCTCTCTCAAAAATCAACAGTAGACAAAAGTTTTTTTTAAAAAGTCTCCAAATAGAAATTGCAGTTTTGAAATAAGGACTACATTTGGAATCCAGGTAGTTTTCATGGCATCTAGAAACTCCCAAAACTTAAAACTAAGCACCAATTAATGACGTTTCTTTGGGACTGCCCGGCTATTGTTGAAATTAGATTCCAAACTTCTCTCTTACGGCTGACTGAACCTCTATATGCCTTACTTAAAAAAAAAAAAAAAAAAAAAAAAAGACAAACTTGACCCAATTCTTTGGAAAGATCAGGAAGACACAGCTTTTGAGATTTTAAAGCAAAGTGGAATAAAGGCTCCCAGTTCTCAGATGTCCTAATTATCAACTTCCCCTTTCCCTGTTTATATGTGAGAGGGGAGGGGATGCCTTCAAGTCCCCACCGGAACATGGGACCATCATCAGCAACATGACCGTGTAGCACAGGGATAACCCTCTCCTCAGAGTCATTGCTGCCATTGCCTTTTAGTTGAGGCCACGGGACCCGCTCTAAGCATCCTGTGCCCCGGGCAGCGGAAGCCTGAGTCTTAAATTCCCCCTCACACTCACTACTTTGCAGCCTGTCACCTCACCTCCTAGGACATCCTCCTCCAGCTTTCTCGCTTCAATGACCTTTCCCCAGCTGTTCTCTGAGCCTTCGTCCCAGACCAGACCTCTCACAGTTGCTTAATACTGACGGATCCCCGTCGGATTCCTTGTAACAATGTATAGGAAATTCCTCTAAGCAATGCAGATTTTTCATGGTTTACTGATGGTGCTTATTTAAAGGATGAAAATGGTAAATGTGATGGGTATATAATACCACTGCAGCTTCTTTTGAAGTCACTTTGGCGGTCCCTTTTACCTTTGGCTCCTTTGGCCCAACTTTCATACTTGTACCTCAGCCAAGGGTAAAACCTCAAATAATAATGAAACTGATAATCCAGTTAGCCTTTGGCATAGCTCACAATTTGGGAATATTATTAAGGTTCCAGGGCATTCCAGAACCGACTCCCTAGAGGCCAAAGGAAACCACCTTGCTAATATTTCCACCAAAAATGCGGCTCTTAGAGAAACCAATAGCCAAACCCCCGTCTTGGTCCAAAGGGATGTTCTCCCACACAATCATTTGGAAAAACTGACCAGAGATGCTCAGCAATTGGCCCCTGAAAATGAAAAGCAGGACTAGCAATCTAATAATTGTTGGTTCAACAAAAAGAGAGAGAACTCTGGTTTGGACCAACTAACACTCCACCCCTACCAGAAATTCTAAAATTCCCACCACTTACGATTGCACATGTATTAAACCATTGGTCTACTAACAAAATGACAGCAGTTATGAACCAATACTGGTGAGGAAATACATTTTTTAAAATTTTGAGAGAGAGAGAATGCATGCACATGTGGGGGAGGGGCAGAGAGAGAATCCTAAACAGGGTCCACACTGTCCGCACAGAGCCCGTTGCAGGGCTTGATCTGATGAACTGCGAGATCATAACCTGAGCCAAAATCAAGAGTCAGATGTTTAACTGACTGAGCCACCCAGGCACCCTGAGGAAATATTAAGGCCAAAAATGTGCCCACCTGCCTCATCCCACCCTCATCCCACAACGCAAAATGCAGAGAAACCTGTTTGCAATGCCCTAAGACTCTTTAAATTACCCAATAGGCCAAGCACGTTTTGGCAGGTAAATTTCAGTTTCCTCCATCTCTTGGATAGTTTTAGTCATGGTTTGTAGGTTTTCTCCCTGGACTGAAGCTTTCTCTTGCAGACAGACCACTGTTTTTTTTTCTGTGGCTAAAACTCTGTTGGAAGAAAATATTCCTACCTGGGGGCTGAACTTCACAGTGATCAGGGAATCCGTTTTACCGGTCAGGTGCTTTGACAAGTCTGTGCTGTTTGGCCAGTTTTACAACACTTCCACTGTGCATCCTGCCCTCGGTCCTTGGGTACTGAGGGACCGAATGTATTAATGGTGCTAATGGACGTTCAACTGGCAGAATTTGAAGAGACCCTCCAGTACCTTGGCTGAGAGCACTGCTCTTGGTCCTTCTAAATCTCAGATC